TGTGTGATAAAGGAGAGTGGGCAAGAATTTATAGCAAGCTAATATCAGCTTCCACTGGTATCTGGAAGAGGTATCATGATTGGAATACCAAGCAAAAACTGAAAGCTCTGTTTGACTTGCCTTGTTGGTTTCAGTGATTTATTTGAATTCTTATTTAACTCTGCAGTACAGAGTTACCACGTACTCCTTCCATCCCCAAAGACACATTGCTTAAGCTCCTGTTATCAAATTGTTTTTTAAACTAGAAAGGACGTTTGTGATTTCCTGATGTAATCTGATGTGTAACAGAAACAGTAGGACTTCGCAGAACTGATTTCTGGTTTGAACTAGGACATGCTTTTTTCTATAAAAACATGGTACGGTTCCCAAACACTTCCATGGCTGGTGAATCCATTCTCAGTCCTTAGTATGTGGTTACAGTAACTACATGGGGGATACATTTTTGTGAATATTTGTGAATATTTTTACTCTTCAGGTTCTTGCTGTAGTTTGAAAACCTTCTGATAAGCTATGTTACCACTTTTAGCTGAACCTTTTTCCTTTGCACAGACCTTTGTAGTGAACTCCAAGGTAAAGGGTAACGAAGCTCACCCTTTCATGTAAACTTTGAGCAGATGGTTGGAGGTTTGGGCAGTTCAGCTGAGTGGCGTGGGTCAGTCCTGGGTGTCTCCAGCCCTTACCGGTAGGTCAAGAGCTCTTCACCAAAGCCTGAGTCTAGCTGCAATTATAGTGTTGTCCTGGCAAGTTGGTTGTAACTCTGTATGTAAAAACAAGAGGAGGAATGATAAACTGGTAGAGGAATAAGCGCAGTAAAGCTTATCCCTTATTCCCCTACACCCCATTCAAAATTTTGGGCTGAAATATGTAACTATGTTTGTCAGTTGGAGTGAAGTAGGAGCTCACTTTTTGGATATGGTTCATGTATTCTTCTATTTTCTTCCTCCTTCTCTTTGAGTTGATGTTTTTTTTTTTAATACTAGAAATGCTGCTTTTTTTTTTTTTCTTCCCAAAAGTGAACTGATGGTGAGCAGAAAAACGTTCTTGAAATGTGCAGTTTGTTTACTTTAATTTGCCCTTGGAAGAAAGCCTGATATTTTTTTTTCTTTTTTTTTTTTTTAAATCCTATTGATGCAATAGGTCTTTTTTAAGAAGGCTAGTCACTAGCTATATTTGCATACTATTTTTAATTATGGCATTCCTTAAGGACACCTTGCTATAATTGTATTTGTACATAAACCGTTTGCCACTTCCTCTTACTCCATTTCCTGCAGCTAGGTGTGCAAAAATCAAAGCAACTGCTAGTATGTGAGGGAAATATTTGAAGTTCCATGGATTTGCTTTTTAATGTGTTGGGTTTCTAATTGCTGTCAGCCTGAACCTGTAACTTTATTTTTGCATCTTCTATACCTCTTATTTGTATAAGTGTGTTATTAGCCAGGAGATTTAAAGAGGAGAGATTTCCCCCCAGCTATATGTTGTGTATAATGTACACATACACAACACAGCTACAAGTCAGTGTGGGTTTGTAGTTGCACCTTGTAGTCGCAAGTGTCTGGCTAAAGGAATAGCAAACTGTTAGTCTTCTCTAAACTCTATTCAGCCATTAGTAGGCACAAGTAAAAGGTGCAGTTTGGCTCAGTAGCGTCTTCAGTGAAACACATCCCAAACCTAACTGTAATCTCTACAAGCTGCAGAGGAAATCTGGAGCAAGTAGTTACTGGAGACAAATGGTTGCTCAGTAAAGGGAGAATACCTTCATCTAAGGTGCTAGGTGAATCTCCTCCCTAGCAAAGAGAGAATCTAAACATCCGGAGAGGTGAAGATGGAGAGGAGTTGCTTAGCGTGTTGCAGAGCTGTAAATGCAAATAAAATGCGACTGGAAATGTGGGGGGTTTAAGCTGCATGCTGACAGGAGGATGAAGCACGCGGAGGAAGGGATCTTGGATAATGATGTCTTAAGCAAGGGAGGGATCAACTGACTCTTCCAGCCAAAAGGGCTAAAGTTGCTTTTCTTGTCTGTGCGGGAGTGGTATTAATCTCTGTAATCTAATGGCTCCTTCTGAGCCGTAGTACAGGAATGCTGAAAACATTCAATGCGTGTTGGGTCTGGCGAGACTGCCGTATCGGGTTCCTGCAGAACAAAGCTGAACGCCTGCAAAGAGCTCAGTCTGCTGGACCTCTGAATGCATGTAGATGGATAAAGCTTTGTCGTGGAGCTGTCGCCATCAGAATCATCCATTGCTAAAGGACTTTGTGTATTACTATAACCTTGTTTTTTAATGCATGTGAACACTGCCTTGGTGCTAGCTGTGGGTTCAGGTTTGGAAGGCAACTACTGCACTGGGGCAGCTAGACTAATTTAATAAGGTTAGTAGTGGTTTTAGTGCTTCCATTTCAAAACCTAGTTGTATCTAAACGAGTAAAAACTTGCTTGCTGTTCTTGCATTTGAAAGAGAAAATGATAGGCAATATCTTTTTGGGTTTGCACCTCGTTGAGGTACACGTTCTGCTTTTCTTCCCATTACTATTTGTGCCAGCTTATGGAGGGCAGTTTTGCAGATACCAGCAGTCTGGTCCCCGTGCTACAAGGTGCTTTGCAAGCACGCGTGCATCCTATGGTTACATGAAGTATTAGCTAATTCTCATTCAAGGATGTTCAAGCCTTTTGCAATGCTAATTTTAGCAGCTCAGGGAAGAGGACTTAGTGGTGGCAGCAGCTAAGAGTAAACAAACCAGGTGGCTGTTAGAGAAGAGGGTTAGTTACGAACTGGTAAACAAAAAAAAGAAATGCTGCATGAAGGTGAAGAGCTTTAGGAGGAAATAAAGTCCTCTCCCACAGGGGTTTTGCATTCCGCTCTGTACAGCAGGCTGAGTGGTAGACTCTGTACCAGTCTTCACCTGCTACACAAATCAACTCTTTATTCTGCTTCAAGATTTCTGAATCAAAGATGACTATAGGCTGCCAGGTCAGTAAGAAGATCTTGTCAAATATGATGTTTGTAAATCAGTCTCCCTCATCACATGAAATAGAAGAACGCTTCACATGAAACTCTGCGGTTAAGGTGAGGAAAACAGTACCTGGGGAATGTTAATTGCACTGAGAAGCAGGGTGATGGTTCAGACTTAGCCTTCCCTCTGCTGCTTCTGGATCAGAGTTGGCTTATTTCCTATCAGCACAGGGAGAGCCCACGCTGCTCCCTGCCCTGTAGGCGTATGCCAAGAGACTCAAAAAGCGGTCCTCAAAAGCTATGCTTGTTGTAAGTACTGGAGCAGGAGCTCTGCCTTTGAAAGAGCAAAGAGAGGCACAACAGAATGATGGAAACAAAAAAAAGTAAAAGAAGGGATTGTTTAACTGCCAAACAGGGATTGTTTAACTGCCAAACCTGTGTTAGGGGTTTTTTAAGGCAAATTGGCATGACTGTTTCTAAATATGACAGGTCACTTCTTTGTTTTGATGTGTGCAGGTAAACCAGACTGAGCTGGAGAAAGGTTATAGTGAAATGTGGGGTTTATATTTAACTGTTTCATTTCTCCATGCTACCAAAATGCCTATATAAAACAGGGTAGGGAGGAGGAAAGGATATGCACTCAATAAACACAGTTAATCTTTAACATTTCTGTCTGCTTCTTTGGCTTTTTATGACACCAATATTCCTGTTATAAAATCTTTTTTTCCCTTTTTTCTGTATGAAAGACTCATGCAAACAAGCAAGAGGCCTGACCATAAGGGAAAACCATTAAATTGATAAAGCAAGGTGTTCTCAAATGCAAAAAAAGCCCGAATAGTTCTTCCTTCAGTTTTCCTTCTTTGACTTGTTTTTGTTTTGTTGGTTTTTTTTTCCCCCCTTATCTGATTAGCATTTGGATGTCTTTCTTTTTGTCTGCATCCGTAGACTGGTTGGGTTAAAAAAAAAATCTTCATACGTTTTTAGCATTATTTTCTTTTACACACACATTACCATTATGTTGTAGCTGAGCA